AAATAGTGTGGCTACATTTGTTGGTGGAAACTTGAAAGTGCCTCCAGCGTACACGGGGAGAGTTTCGCTTAACTCCACCGACGGCTCCTTGACCCTGTCCGCCCTGAAGCCTGGGGACAGCGGGGACTATAGCGTCTCTGTGATAACATCTGATGCCAGTACTCTACTCGGAGAGACTAAACTTCTGGTGGTCGGTGAGTACTGTGCGCCATACCTGTGCGGTTACTGCAGAGGTGTGGCTTCAGACAAATGGAAGCTTGGTGTGAGACTGCAGCGGTGCGGAGCTGATCGCTGTGTTGCATTAGTCACTTCAAACCAACAACCCAGCAGCGCTGAGGCGATTATTAAATACAGAAAGTGTCTTCGTGTAGTTCGGGGCTTATAACGTACCCACGGGACAGCTGCCCGTGAAATGCCCACTTTTCTAAACTCAGTTTGGTTGGGATTTAGCCACGCCTGCTTGTCCCTGCAGTCTGGAGGAGGAAAAGTTTGCTTTGTCACAGGTGAACGCGACACTGCCGGTGCGCGAGCTCCTTTACAACTCTGTTCATGTCAAATAACCAGCAGCGTGAGAGGGCGTGGCTCGTGACGCTGCACCTTCCAGTCAGTGTGGCCGTGTGTACTCAGCTTTGTGGGGACCGAAGCGTGATTTGAGTGTCAGGGAGTTAGGTTATGGTTTAGGCCCAGGGTGAGGGTCAGGGGCTGCGGAGAGCATTAGGTCAGATAGACGTCCCCACGAAGATACGAAAACACGTGTGTGTGTGTGTGTGTGTGTGTGTGTGTGTGTGTGTGTGTGAGCTCTGATGCTCTGATGCTCTGACCTCACATTCAAAAACCAGGAGTGTCCTTCAGCAGGATGTGTGGTGGATGCTTGATGTTCTCCTCGTGGCTGCAGCTCTGTTCTGGGTGGAGGTGGGTTACAAAGCAGCTTGCAGGTGCAGCAGCAGCTGTGGGCTCGGCTTCATACTGATCTGTGAGCTCGATTGTAAAGTAGCAGCATCATTAGGTGATGTGAGCTGGCTGTAACTATGACAAACCTCCAACAGGAACATCCTGCCACTCAGCCTGCCAGCATGCCTACAGGCTCTTATTTTGGAGGTCATGTTAGAGAAGACTAGCTCGATTGCTGTTACTGGGACATAAAAGCTGCATGTGTAGAATCACCAGTGAAACCAGAGAAACACAAACAGCTGCCTTCATGTTAGCTGTGCCCTCATGTCTCTGTCTCCTGCACCTCTGGGGACCAATAATACTCTAGTTATTATGGATCTATATCATGGTTTTGTTGCCTGATAAAATAAAGTAAAGTAAAGTTGTTTCTGGAGTAATTACACAAATTCAAAATCCACACCCACTGACTCTCTTTGCACCAGAGTGGATCTTTAATGTTCCTGTGGATCAGTCAGCTTATCTGTTATCAGCCAAACTATCCTAGAACAATAATCTCAAAGTAGCGATGGTGTGAGGCTCCTGAAGGCCGACTGGTTTCCACTCCTTTGCGTTCCCACACACCCACTGTTGCTTAATCACCAGTGAACAGTAGCTGCAGGATTACTGCAAACGAGTCAAGCCGGTTGCTTCTGTTTCTCTTTCGTCTTCATCACGATTTCAGAGCACAATTGTATGAAGAGGTAGGATCATTTGTAGTAGGATTTCAAAAATAAAGATGCTGATTAATTTTAATCTGTGGAAACATTCGCCTTAACACACCCTGACAAGGCCTGAGCAGGCTCGACCCAATCAAACCTGTGTCCTTCACAACCAATTAGAGGAGGAGGTAATGTTTTATGTTTGTCCTCCCCTCTCTGAGAGCCAAAGGAAGCAGGCAGACCTCGCTGAGATCCCCAACCTGCTCTAACTCGCACACAGAGGCTGCTTTAACTCTGCTCAGCTTTTATGGCGATGCTTACTTTGTTAGTCATCATCTACAAACCAGGAGGTGATGCAAACGTTGGCCTTAAACCAACAATCCAGCAGTGCTTAATCTGCCACAAGGCCCTCATTCAAAGGGGAAACGATGCAGCTGGGTGTGTTTAGTCCATTTCTGCCAAAGGTGTCGAGTATTCAGAGAAATGTAAAATAATTCGTTGTTGAAAGCTGCGAGGAGAAAAAATCAGTTTGTGCTCATGCTGTCCTCTGCTGCTGGTTCCTCCCTGCAGAGCCCGTCTCCGACGTGGTCATCAAGTCCAACGTCCCTGATGCCATTGAACACAACACCACTGTGATTCTTACCTGCAGCGCTAAAGGCTCCTCGCTCAGCTTCAAATGGACCAAAGGCAGCGCGCCCATCGTGGTCGACGGCACACGCGTCACAGAGACGAAGGTCAGTTCAACCCTGATTGTTTCTGCGTTGTTTGATGTGAAACTTTGGGTCGGCGTTTCACTTCTACCCGAGTCATCCTCATCGTTTGTCGTTTGTATCGCAGACGAACTTGTCCAGCGTGCTGACCATCAAAAATGTTCTGAGGACGGACCTGGTGGGTCCGATCTACTGCGCAGCATCTAACTCGCTGACAACGAAATCTACCGCCACGCCTTTCAACCTCACCGTCTACTGTAAGTACTGCAGCCTGCACGACACCATTCAGAGCACCAGAGGCTTTTAGTCTGGGTGTTGCTCGGCAGACATGCAGCAAACACAACAGGAACGCCGAGGTTCTGCAGATGTGGAAGCACGGCTGAGGTTGCATCCTCGCAGCAGCTCTTAGAAAGCTGAAAGCTGGCCGTGGAAGTCGGCGAGCGTTGGACGTGTAAGGAGGTGTTTTTGGCCCCAGGGGGGGAAACTGGAACTGTAACACACACCTGCTGTTCCAGTCACAAAAACTGCAGTTTTCTTGGAAAGACGTCCTCGCCTGCTGACGTGTCGTGACATGAAAGCCGTGGGCTTATTGTCCCGCTCATCTCGTGACCTCCCGTCTATCACCGACCTCGGATCAAAACACAGATCAACACAAATTCTAGTTCGGCAGATTGCCACAAAAGTCCCGACTGCAGTTTTCTGAAAGATGAGCTGTCGTCATTTAGCGACGGCGCGCTCATCACCGCCCTGGGGCAGATATCTAATGGCAGACTGCGTCGTGATTACAAACAGGGATTGGTTGCAAAACCGGCTTTACATTATAAAAGATGAAATGCAGCAGCAGCAACATCAGTGGACTCACACAGCAGCAGCTTCAGCACGAGTGAAAACACATACAGGAGCGTGTAATGGATAAGAAGCAGCATTCCTATTTTCCTCTTTCAAAGTAAAAGCACTTTGGAAACTTCAGCCCTCAGAACTCATGCTAATAATAAAACACCACGTTTAAACTCATCATTTAGTACAGGGGGAGGAGCTACAGAGAAGTCCATGCAACTGTGGCTGGGAACCCCCACACATGCAACATGTTTACTAGCGGTGTCCCATGATTAGTGCCCCACTGTAACAGTTTAATTATATCTCAGCTACACATGCAAACACTCGCTGCCCTCACATTTGTTTCCTAAAGAGCGAGACCAGCTGTGAGGGGGACCTGCTGTTTCAGGGCTCTGATGCATGCTCTTAATGCTGGTTTCCTGACACCTGCATTTTTAGCATTCCTGTACAGGTATTTCCTGTTAGCTGTGGCAGTTGGACAGTTAGCCCGTTCTTTACTCTTACATTGTTTGTAGCGTTGCACCTGAATGAGCGAATGAGCTCCACACCTGCCGCACAACAAAGGTCAAACATGAGTCAGGCCCGGTCGGTGCTTCACACCCCGGCAGGCTTCGGTAAGCACAGAGGTGTCACTGCTGGGTGAGACGTGACCATTGCTACCACACAGTGTGTTTGTGTTTGCATGGCGCGCCCTCTCAGTCTGTGCTAACCACACTGTGTACACACAGTGCATGACTAACCTGCAGCAGTGAAAGGCCACAGCGACCGCTGCTGAACTCTGTTATTAATTAATATGAAGCTGACGGCTTCATCGGGTCTGGAAGGAGCTCCCAGTTATCCACGGGGGCGAAATCTGTTCCTCTACCAGCCTGGAAAAGCTGTCGATTGTGCTTGACTTGTTAGCTCGTTATTCCTGCAGGTAAACAAAGTGATGAAGATGAAGATGAGTTTTACTGGTGGGGAAAAGATAACTTCATTCATAATCTCTGAGCACTAATTATCAAACAATAAGGGAAAGTAAGTAAAAGGGAATTTTTGCAGTCATTATGTATTAATGTCACATGAAAGGATGTAGTCGCTGACTCCACCCATCACGTTTCTGCTGCTGCCATCTTGGCGATTGGAGCTGCTGGTGACAGTTTGTCAGTCGGTTTAATGATGAAGTACAAACTGTTCACAGTCATGTTGCACTCCCCTCTCCATGTGCTCCACAGACGGACCTGATGATGTCACCATCACGCCTGCAAATCCACCCAAGTTCATCCTGGCTGGTTCCGTGTTCAACCTGACCTGCTCGGCCAGCTCCCTGCCGCCCGCCTCCTTCACATGGTACTATAACGGGACGAGGATCGAGACTCCCAGCTCCGTCCTCACTCTGGATACGATCAAAGCCAAAGGGTACACGAAGGCGGCTGACTACACCTGTCGGGCTGAAAATCCCCAGAGCAAACGCAGCGTCGCTTCCCCGGCTGTTTCCTTCGCCATTATGGGTGAGTGACGTGGCTGAGTGGGGTCATTGTAGAGTTACAGCAGGTCCAGGAGAAAGTCTGGCTGTG